CAAGAAAAACTAAGAATTTCAATGTTCAATGTTTTGTGTGCTTAGAGGGACATTATATGTAATATGTGTCGTTGAGTGCAGTCACTTCAACACCGCCGTGTCAACGCAATGGGGGGATTTATTCAGTTGAAACAGATAAAAAAGTAAAGCGCTTAACGCTCTCATTGTCTACATGTGTACAATATCAGTGGCTCGGTGTGGTGTGGGGTAGCAATGGCAAGTGTGTACACGACACGGATATTGTGCACGTGTGCATGTGTTGCGTCAGTGTGCGTACCGAGGGTTGTAATGTTGCTACCGACAAGGGCTGGCCACGCCCATCAAATTATTGCTTGTTTCAATTCAATCAGTGTTTTAGACACTATTAATTTCGCTAAGAAATAATAGTTTTGGAACTTAGATGTTATACAATACTTGTTGCTTGGTTAAATAACTGTTAGATTAAGCCTTGGGTACACGACGATTTCATTATTAAAAAAAGTAACACCAAGAGCAAATAATAAGAAACGTATTGAGACATCGGACAAAAGCCCAAACAGTAAAATATAAAAACTTAATTACTTTATTCGTTGACCAATGACGATGAAATAAAGTTTTAGAAATACTGGTAACATTAAATCCCCTTTGGTACAGACTGGTAACGCACACAAATGCATCCACTATTATGTTGGGAACATTTTTTATACAATTTATCAATCCGGGGCAGATGGTCCCGGATCATATAAACACCTTTGAAAAGCTCCCAGCTATTATAGGGTTACAACATTATCATATGGACATAAAATGGCCGAATATACGTAACAATATAGATCCACGTACTTAGGTGGTAGTTATCTATTCTATTTTGTATATAATTAAGGAAATTATCTAGGTATCAATCCTTACTTAATATTATAAATCGGAAAGTGAGTTTGTTTGTTTGTTCCGCTTTCACACCGTAACTACTAAACCGATTGCTTTGAATTTTTGCAGACATAAAGTTAAAAGTTTAAAGATTTAGATTAAATAATAGGGTACTTTTTATCCCGGAAAGATTTGATATTCCCGAGGGGAAAAAAGTATTGGTATAGATGGCGCTATGTGTATTGGTATATGTCACATAGGCTACTTTTTATCCTTTTGTGTCGCGAGCGAAGCCGCGGGTAAAAACTAGTTAAAACATAAAATTAAATGATATAAAATACCTAACTGAATACTGTAAGCTGTTATAATTCTTTTGTCTTTTTACTCGTTTGATAACGAATGATTTAAACGTGAATAATTATTTATCATTTCGTCCAATTGACAAAAACAGACAAATAGAAAAATATTATATTACCTATACCTATTAGATATAACAGTTAGTAGAACCTCATAAATAATATATATGTCTATTTTTCTTTTATGCAAATTTTATGTAAAGTTTTATTGCTTAGTTAAGTGTGTCGATTTCAATTAACACTAATTACCAAGTAATTTAGTTCTCCGTTGCTATGAAGTAATTTGAGAACATTTAGTACCTAATTAGATGCTATAATAAAGACTGCACGAGCGCTTATTTATTTGTGTATTTTTGTATTTAGCACATGCAATCCACAGGTTTAAAGCCGTGCCATCCAAAAGAATATCAGAATAGATATTTAATACTATGTGTATTTCATAAGAATATTATCTCATAACAAGTGGAAATATTAAAACTAATAAAGACTTTACTTCAGAAGCGCTACATAGGTTTTTAAGTTTTGAAACAAGTTTTCTAATAACTGATAGCTACTCCTAACTTATCCTTGAGTCATCTTTTACTTAGCTAATGTTTTTCATAGAGCATTCTTTGTACATATTAACTGGTACAGTAGTCTTACATAATGAAGTACAAAACCAAACTGTAACATGAGCATATTAAGTGTTTAATGTTGACGAGTGTATTACATGTTTGTTTGGCGCACTGTGGCCCGCAAGTGCTGCACTCGACAGCTCAGGGCACAATGACGCGGGCACAGGGGCGAGGGCACAACACCAACGAAGGGTTCCGTATTGTTTGCAAAATATTTTGAAAGCTTCATTTTATACGGCATATTAGCTGAGCACTGCGTTTGATGGTCGGGGGACGTCTTCACCGGTTCGAATCATATCATCGTTCATTGTACCCTCCCCTTTGTGGCAGCGCGTCGAACGACTGCTGAAGTACCCATGTAGAAACTATTGAATACTAATATACTACAGCCAATATCTGTTTATTACACCCGATACATGAATGAATGTATAAAATATCTATTTAATAGCTCACGCTTGTTTACATTTCATATTTAATAGATTCCAATTTATCCAGTTCATTTTATGTAAATGTTTTCATTCAATAAACAAATGCAAATTAGAACGCAATGCAAGTAAGAAATTAAAATGCATAACACTTTAAAATGGCCCATATTTCAATATAGACGTAGCTAGTTATAATAACTTCGAATATGATACTCGATATAAATACGGAATGTACGTATGTATTTAATATTTGATGTTAACAGTCAAACAGAAATACAGCATGTATATTTCTATAGCTACATACTTAGTGCTTGTGTATTGTTGATGGTTTGTATACAAATGAATATATCAAGTGAATATTTGGCACAGGTGTTTAGTGATATTTAAAGTATTATAAGTGATTGGGTGATAGTGGGCGGAATCACCGGCGGCGTTGTAACACCGACGCGTGCTGGCGTACCCTCCGGCCCAAGGTTCTCGCGCTACACATTCAGCCGCCTGACTCAACAGCAATATTTTAATCCTTAATAATCGTGGATGATTAATATCTTCACAAACACATTATTTAGTATAGCTAAACTTGTGAATTTGGTTTCGGACTTTTGGAAGGTCTGTGTCAGATTTTGTTTTGTTTATAGATATTAAGACAAAACAGTCAAATGTTATTTGAAACTTGTCTGAAATGATTTAAGAAAATGAATTTTAAAATGTATTATGACATCATCTCTTGAATTCTGATCTGAAATCTGATTGTACATTGATAAAATGAGCAGAATCTAACGGACAAGGAATTAAGAAGGTATGCCAAATAGATAACATAAATAGTGAAAATGTGCTACATTGTACAGTGGCATAATGTGCACCTCTGCCTACCCCTTCCACGATAAAAGGCGTGATGTTATTTGTTATGTTATGCCAAATAGATTAATAGAATTACTATAAATGAAATTGAGAAAGAAACTATAGAAGTTTAGACTGTCAAATCAAAATATGCCTAGCATCTTGATACACTTGTTAATAAACAAAGTATCAGATTACTGAGGCTACTTAAATAAAATATATTTGATATGTTTTATTTATGTTTTATAACTTTCTACTACTGTTCTGGAATGTTCTCAAATTACTTCTGTGGCTAATTATTGTTGCATCTATAATACTCGATAAGGAAACTCTTAATATTTTTGTTTTAGTGGACCTGGCTACCGATCAGCCGAGTGTCAGTTTACGCAGGCTGTCATAGTTTTGTGGTATTTTTCATTTCAGTATGTTACGATTATTGAATACGAAATTAATTTAAGTTACGAAATATTTAGTGAACCTATGAGTAGTTTATAAGAGTATCTAGCCATACATAGATACTCTTTCCATTACCGTATTCCATTCATGATGATTGACGACACTCCACTCCTAGTTATATTTTTCAAATTATTCAGGATTTTTACATAAAAACTTGTCCTTAAGTAGGTATGTATTATGTGTATCTATTTGTTGGATGGATAACCTATGTCTTCGTGTAAGTGTATATTCGAACAGTATTTTACGTAGTAAGTTTAAGAAATTAATAACCTAGATAAAATCAACAGCACGTGCATGTGTGTAAAATATTTTAAAATATATGTGTTGTTCGAGCAGCTATCCTAACATTCCAACGATATCCAAGATTAAAAATATTTCAAAAGCTGTTAGTTAAAGAGCTATTAAAATTGGGTGGCCTGTGGGTCATAAATACATTATTAACCTATTTTAAGGTGAAGAGGTTTCACCTCCTCGATATTTGCTCTGGGCTAATTAAATCCATAATGATCGACAGCAGACCCCGGCCAACTATGGCCTTAGTCAGCCTTCGGAGTAATTTATAGCTACCCATAAAACAATTCTTCAAAGTTCCCCACAAAAAGGTTTCGTCTATTCAAACGCCCGTATGAGATAATAGAGGACGGGGGCACATGACAAAAGTCTGGATGCAACACTATGCACAGACGAAGATGAAAAAAAAACGCATAAAACCAGCTGCTGGCTACATCCCTGACGCCCGCTATACAAATTCCTGGACCGTTCCCTTAAAAATCGATATTTAAAGTTAAGTACCAATACTTTACCAATAACAATGGTCCGTCGTGCGACAGAGACAAGACACGAGGTGCCCAGCGCCCAGCCACACCAACTGGACATTTTAATTTACGAGCATTTTTTTTATCTCGCATACACAGTTCAGATGAATCTTTCGACTTTTGTAATGAATTGAAAAATGGACTTCTTAGTTAAATGGCTTTTTGTCCTTGCTTACTGGGAAATAGACTTCACAAGTCGACGTGAACATTTATAGGATGGCCGTTAGCTCCGTTGTTTGTGCTCGAGATCGTGTTACAAGGATATTCTTTGATAGTTTGTTGTGTCCAAGCTGTCATTGTGTCGTGTTGGATATTGTTGAGGCGTGTTTCGATATATCGCAACTGTGGGCATCAGTCAGCCGCAGGCGCTGCCGACTGCGGGGGGCGGTTTATTATGAATTAATGAGAATCGAAATGTTTCGCCAGATCAACGGTCGCTCGCTTGAATGGATCTGACATCTTACTATACGACTACCGGATATGAAACACTTCGTTTGCTCCGTGACGAATCAATTTACTCTAAGACACTTACTTATTATGTACCATGGTAAGTACCTACTTCCCAGTGACGAGTGTATAAAACGTATCTTTTGTTATTATGAGATATAATGAAAGTTTGTTGTCGAAATGTTATATGAAAAAGAAACTTACCAGTGTGTGTCCTTTTGTGGATTTTGAGGTTTTCAGATCTTGCAAACACTTTGCCACAGCCGGGGAACGGGCAGGGGAATGGTTTCTCTCCAGTGTGTACACGGATGTGATTCACCAATTTGTATTTCGCTTTGAAGGGCCGACCGTTTCGCGAGCAGCCCTGCCAGAAACACGCGTGCGTGGTACACTCGGGCCCGCCGACATGCTCCACTGTCAGATGCGTCACGATCTCGTGCATACTTGAGAAAAGTTTGTTGCACAATTTCCTTGGAGGCGGTTGTTCAGGATCGAGCCATTGACACCGCATGTCACGGCGAGGAGGCGCGCGCACATATCGTAGGAAGGCGTGGGGTGCGTGTGCATGGGCATGCGGCACTAGGGGAGGTGCACCGCCCTGGTAGTGCACGGCGTCACCTCGCCAGTCCCAGCTCTGCTCCAGAGGCTGCTGTGGGAAGAGCTCGCCACAGCCGCTGTACTCGCGCAAGTACCCGGGCTGGTAGGAGTGCAGCGGGTATGGCTGGTAGTGCGGCGGGTGGTGCGGAGGGGGCGGGTGTGGTGCGGCGGCGCGGTGCTGCGCGCCCACGCCGCACCCTGGTTGTGGAGACATCTTCAGGCCATAGGAAGCCAGATGTGCATGGTTGGTCTCGAGGAAGGCATTCATGGCGGGGGTGGCCGACGCCGGCGCATAGCCCCATTCGCCCGCCACCATCCACGCGGCGGGGTTGTCCCCGCTGATGACGGCTTTGGAAACTGCGTCGTTACCGACGCTCAACGAGGCTGCTGATGATAGGCGAAACTGAATTCAGCCTATACACTTGCTCTGGTATCTTCACTGTCTTTGTATATCAGTTCCTCTGGTTTGTGCCCTGTTGAGGAGAACAGAGTGTAATTAAAATCTTGCTACCTAATAAATATTCAAAAGGCTCAATGTTCTGAGCAAAATGTAAAAAAATGAGCTCTAAAGTATCATAACCTTCCGAGACAAATTCAAAACCATTTCTCAAAATAATAACATACATTCGTGCAGCCATAACCGGCGACCAACATTTATTTATAATAAAAAAAAATGTGAAGCAGGTACTTTTGGACATTAAATTAAACTGTGGGTAAATTTATAGGACACTTTTATACGCCTGAGACAAAAATTTCGATTGTATTCGTGTATATTTAATTTTAGTTTATTTGTTAGGCTCGCTCCAATCTCTTTTATGGCCGAGGTTTAGCATCGATAATTTATTAAAATAGTTTTATGAATGATAAAACCTGTTCCATCGTAGACAGCGTGCAACGATCGGCATTTTATTGCCAACTTCACATCCCTTTATAATTAATTCGAAGGCACTATTCTGGCAAAATAAGTTTTTTGTTTAACATCTAAAACATGCTACAACATGACAATGATTATCCAAAAATAATTCACCTAGAACTGTCTACCTGAATTACTTATACTGTAATATGTCTCTGTTAAGTACAGATAATATACTTAACTCAAACAAACATATTACAAAATAAGGAATAGTTTATATACACAAAGTATTCCTAAAAAAAAGTAAATTGAGTGAGCAAATAGAATAATTATATGTGTTAGGTAATCCCACGTCACTCCCTACGAACAGTAAGGTAGTACTGTCCATCAACATACAACTGTACATTTTTTGTGGGCGTCTACATAATCGCATTATTTGAAAATAATGTTGTTTATGTATTGTTTAACGCAGTCGAGTGGGACAGACCGCTTTACCTGAGAGTTAGACAATGTCCTGCCTCAGATCTCCATCTAATCTCAACATTATCTGCGAGACTCCCCGCTGCGTGGTCGCATCATCACAAAGCAACGGGTTGACACATCTCAACAGACGCTCATGAACTAATAGGATTACAAAACTAACCCTTTCCATATCAATATCAACTGTCAAAGCATTTTGCATCTTAATCCATTAAAATTAAAAGCTTTGTTACTGTTCGGGAACGGTAAAATGTAAGTTTGTAACAATTCGCAGCTGTCTAAGGAACTTTTCCACAGTTTTAAGGAATTAGTCATGATCGCTTTAGCTTTTTATAAATTCGATTATTTATTGGTTAAGAGATAGGTAAGTAGATATTGCGTTCACGGAAAAGAGAATATTATCACTATGGCGAGAGTTGAAATTTAATTTATTCATAATTGTGTTTTTCATGCTACAGATCTGGCATTTTCGGTTTTAGGAAGATACACATACACATTTTAACACATGAACTCACGCAGTAGTT